TAATATATATTGTCATATTATATTCCACTTACATTTTAGAAGTCACATTCTCCCTTGCTTTTCTTTTTTCTTGTTTGCCTGATTACTCTTGTGTTATACTAGTCATTGAACAAAGTATAGGATTGGATCAGATGAGGAACAGAGGATATCCTATTGTCATTTTCACTGGATAGAACAATGTAACCACTGTAGTGCACTGAAAAGGAATTAAGAACATATTGAAGTGAAGGACATGGCCTGGGAGATTGGCAAAGACTATACAAAGAGGCCTGGTGAACAAAATTAGACCCATGTGAGAAAGAGCCTTCTCTGTGTGGTTCCCAGGCTTTGTAATGCACTCCCCAAGAAGGTGTGGCTGTCCCCAACTCTCCCAGTATTCAGGAAAATGGCAACACCTCATCTCTTCCTCCAACCGTTTAATTTATTTTAATGTTACCTGATTTTAATTGTGTTGTATTGATTTCATTTTTATGTTTTATAATTTCTATTTGTGCTTGTTGTAAGTTACTATAAGTTTTGTATGGACAGAAATGCAGGATATAAATTTAGTAAATGTTCATCATATGCATTATATGAAAGAATAGAAGTTAGGGATTTCATCCTGAGGATGACCAGTGTTCTCTAGATGCTCACAGGATGTTCAAGACAGTTACATTTTTTTATTTTGTTGAACATATAATATCACATATATATTGTCACAGAGTAAACCCTTTTAATGATAGCAGCATTGTAATTTACTTGCAGCTAATGCGACCGATCAACTCTTTGGATGAGCTTTACCGACTAATGGCATCTTTCATAAGATCCAAGCGCACAGCAGCCTGTGCTTACACAGCTTGCGGTGCTTCTGGAGTTGGACTACTGTCAGTCTCTTCAGAACTCTGTAGCCGGCTGGGAGCTTGCCACATCATCATGTGCAATAGTGGAGTTCACCGGTATGATAATTTATCTTTTCTAAAAATTACCGTTAATTGCTGTCCAGACCTAAGAATGAAGAGGATGGATATGGATATGGATATGGATATGGATATGGATATGGATATGGATATGGGTGTGTGTGTGTGTGTGTGTGTGTGTGTGTGTGCATCCTTCATAGATAGTACTGTTGATGTAACTAAGAGTATGAGTGGTGGGACTAAAATCATAATGCAGTCATGCTTTATTCCATTATTACAAAGTAATAAAAAAGCAGTTGCATAGATTGAGATTAAAAACAATTAAACCATACAAAATAGCAATACACTATACAGTGGAATAATAAGAAAGAAGAGAGCAATGTGGATTCAACAAAAACTTCGATGAACTTACGAGTCATCAGCTGATGCTGAAAATTAATCAGTCTTGGTACCTAGGGATTAGGAAATTCTGTAGTTGGAGCACCTGTACGGAGACTATTCTCTTCCCGATTACCATGTAACTGATCTCTGGCATACGTAGCACCATCAAGGCAGCATCCTAGATGATCTTAATGACTAGAAGATAATAAAAGATTTAGAGAAGTCATTATCTCTTGTTTTCAGCCTTTTCATTAATACAGGGATAATATTAGTGACTTATTTTTTTACTGGTATTAAGGAATATATATGTTTATATTATGTGTGTGTGTGTATACACACACAGACACACACACACATGCACAGTGCTAAACAACAGTACAATCTTGTCTATATTAAGAATTTTGAAATCCTGCTGATTAACTGAAAGCTTCAGAACGCAACTGTAATGTGCAGAAATGCCTCACTGAATTCAATGAAACCTGCAAATAACTATAGTTTGACTGAGATAATAATGATTTAGCTTAGGAAGAAACTGTTTAAATTATATTGTCTCTGGTAACATTTCTTTCTTATATATATACTGAAAACATGAAAAAACATTTACCTGCCCATGTGCAAAATGCTTACAAATAATTTGTTCCTCATTCTGTAGTAGGTGGTGCAAAGGTTACTGTAACAGATTTATATTTTCAGAACATTCTAATAATCTGTTATAATAAATTTAGAGATGACAAAAATCTATCCTGCAATTATTTAAGCTGCTCCAGTCATTAGCAACGTAGAATTGCTTCACAGAAAACTGTAAAATAATTCCAATAGATTAATGCCTTATTGCCTGAGTGGAATTCCATTGGGTCATCATGAGAATATATAACATTTTTCACATTCTGTAAAATATATATTTTAAAATGGAACTGACATTTCCCAAAATAAATTGTTTCTGTATGCATAAACTACTCTAGTATTCTTCTTGAATACATAGTGATATTACCAAGTTCTCTAGATAGACTGAGGTGTCATTCTATATATTGCATTAGACTCTTCAATTCAACTAGAGATATATGGTATAACTGTATAATAAAACTGATCTGAAACTGCTTCTAAGTGGCCCATACCTTTGCCTGAAGTCATTCTTTTTCCTTAGCAGAAGGCAGCAGACTATGTTTTTCTAATATTCATCTGGATTACATCAGTAACCCCAGAGCCAGGGCTTATTTGATCTTGCTAACTTCATTAAATTTTAAAAGAAAAATAGTAAACACTAACAAGAGCTAATATTAAGAGAGAGAGAGAGAGAGAGAGAGATTAGGAAAAAAAAGATAGTTAAGATTAAAAGTGTGAAAAGCAAGAGAAAAAAAAGGAAAGGAAAAGAAGAAAAAAAGAATTGACTTCCAACCCTCCTTATAACAGATATAAGTAACAATATACATCAAACTCTTATTCTAAGTTTACAATATAACTTCCATTATTTCTATTAACCCGTATTATTTCTAATCATCAAATCCATACAACATAATTTCATTTTTTTCTGTTTCCTGCAAAA